TCTGACTTTTTCCAGTAAGAAATCCGGATTTATTTCTTGCTCCGATGCGCATCTCCATCAACTGTGACCACAKAGGGTAATTCGAATCATCAAGGATGAWTCCAGTGGGAAATGGAGCATCCTGTACGTTYTGGACAATGACACGAGGATCTTTTTCCGCCATGAAACAGAACCAATTCGATTCGATTAATATGTTTGTGGTGTTTTCGTATGGTCCTGCTCTGATACCATCAAGAACTGGTTCAAGATGCAGGAACAATTTTGTGTATTTCATGAACTGATTACAAGAATATATACAAGAGTACAATGCAGCACAATATGGAAATTATAAACTCCTTAAATGGGTGGAGAAGATTGAATAATTCAATTCATAATCATTCTATAATTAGCTCTAGTCAACACTGGGCGTTCTACATGAACCTCCCCTTAGAAGCTTATGGAATAAGCCACTTTCTATATCGTTAAGCCACTACCAAACAGTCATGTATAGTTGACCGAATAAGCTGTGAGTCATTAAGCTGCTAACAAATAGGCCCTAAGACATGGTAAAGTTTATATTCTTATTCCTAAATAATGAAAACAAGATTGAAATTGAAAAAGAAAGACAAACTAAGCAAGAATGTTACCAAGGGGTTGTTTACCAAACACTTACCTGGTGAGCATCTAGCGGTAAAATTCAACACTATCATTTACTTACCGGGTAAGATTTTAGTCAACAAAAAATGGATTTCTATGCAACGAATTACCCGGTAAGAGCTTACCGTGGTAAGAGTCATTGCCCTCACGTACCGGGTAAGGCTCTAGGTCATTGTCTCGCTCTTACCGGGTAAGATTCATGGTCCTTTCCATGTTCATCCGATAAAGTAACGTAACTTGATAAGTGCTTACCCAAGTAAGCATTTGGTAAACGGCCCCCTAAGAATATTTGATTTCTCATGTGGTTATGTTTTGATTGTGCAGGATGTGGAGGGAAATCAGTCTATTGGCTGAATCTAAGCCTGTAATTGCATCAATGGTTGATATTGCAGCCAGTGGAGGATACTATATGGCAATGGCTGCACAGACAATACTCTCAGAGGATCTTACTTTAACGGGTTCAATCGGTGTTGTCAAAAGTATATTACAGCATCCTGCAATCTTTTTTCTTAAAATTTCAGTTGGGCACCGCATTTGAGCCTCCGTGGCTACAAGGGGATTTTTATTCCTCCTTAGATTTGAACCTGGGTCCTCCTGGTACTTTTGACCTTTGGAGCCAAGCTCAAACCAACCAGGCACCACCCTTGTGGTGTAGGTTTATTTAAACTTCCATTGTGGTTCAGTGCGATCGATTTTGCGTGTTTGACTTTTCCAGGTTTTCTAATTAATCTCTATTTTTGTTGTAGGTAAGTTGAACAAGGGGAAACTATTTGAAAGGATCGGTTTCAACAGAGAAATGATATCGAAGGGACGATTTTCTGAGCTGACGGCTGCTGACCGGCCTTTCAGGTGAGAAGATTTCTTGATTTATTGACGGACCCGGTGTATTGGATACTGTGGCACGGGCCACTGCTTTATTCCTCCGTCGTATTGTAAAAAAATGATAGGATCGTGAAAAGTGCTACCGTATATATTTTGAAACTACAATAAGGACACAAGTTTCCTTTGATGGAGTTAGTTTGCAAGACTTTTCTTCCACCCTAGACCTAAGTTCAAATTTGTTAGTGTCATTTTCTTACTTTTTATCTTTTAATTTCAGATATATTATGTTTCTGAATTTTTTTTTTTTGCAATAAAAGACTTGAACACAAGACTTTACATATGAAAAACAATAAACTAACCAACAGAACGATAATTCTATGAAAAATATCCCTGTATTTGTTTTTTTATAGTCAAATGGTGCCACCAATTGAAAAAATGTCTCTAATACCCAAGTTACTTCAGGGATCTTTTGGAGAGTAATCTGATGGGGTTCTACATATTTTTTCATGGTATCAGAGCCATTGTTAAACATTCTATGACAATCTATTTCCGTCAAGCCTCCATGCTCGTATTCTCACACATTCTCGTCATTTCTTATGATGCCAACTACTTTGTGTACCTGTGTGCAGGCCAGATGAAGAGAAACTCTTTGCAGAATCTACCATGAATACTTATAAACAATTTCGTGACAAGGCAGCCCGTTCAAGATCAATGAGCGTATGTGGTCACGCGAGTAAATATTTTAGATTTTTAGTAACTCGATAGTTATGCAATTAGCACCGAGTCGTTATACTGCAGGTGGATACGATGGAGGAGATCGCTCAAGGGAGAGTGTGGACCGGTAATGATGCTGCTTCACGGGGCTTAGTCGATGCAATTGGCGGGTTCTCGCGAGCCGTTGCTGTAGCAAAACAGAAGGCCAACATACCTCAGGACAAACGGGTTGGTTTCATTCTGCTCTCTTCTTGCTCTAAATGCTTGTCAATTTTCTAAAAGTTTGAGTAAATTACGTTTTTAGTCCCTATGGTTTGTTCAAAATTTCAATTTTCGTTCCTATGGTTTTGAAATTACGATTTTCATTCATATGGTTTATATAATTCATTACCTTTTTTGTTCTTATGATTTACAATTTATTGATTTTTTCGTCCCTATGATTTAAAACTCATTTCTATTTTAGTCATTTATACTTAAAGTAGTGTTTTGGCCTCAAGGACGAAAATAGAAATGAATTGCAAACTATAGGGACGAAAATTGAAATTTCAAAATTACATGGACGAAATCTGCAATTTTTAACAAACCACAGGGATGAAAATTATAATTTACTCAAAAATTTATAGTGATTGAAAAAAGAAACAGATGAAACAATATCCGTAAGCCCGTGATTAACAAGAGAGATAGATAACTAGCTATTCGAGTGGCTAGACCCTCCCAAAAACAAACTTGATAATTTTCTCGATACCCTATTCTCCCCTCTTTCCCCTATTTATTAACAGCCCTAATAACCCTGATGGGTTTGGAGTCAGTACCTAACAATTTACTCTTCAAAAAAGCTTCTGAAGATAGAAGAGATGTTCCAACATATATTAATAGGAAACGGTCCAAATCTAGCTCATGTGGGACTTAAACGGATATAAAACGCGCATTTTACTATGATGCAAGTTGTAAATAAAAAAACCACCTGATGAACGGCTATTTCCGATATTTTTGTTATAACGATATATGGCTGAATGTATTCAGGTTACTTTGGTTGAGCTGTCAAGACCGTCACGTTCTTTAACACGAATCTTGTTCGGGATAGGGAGCTCAGCAATCGGAATAGACACATCGTTAAGCCAACTGGTGGATGGCTTGACATCGAGTGATGAAGTGCAAGCCCGTATGGATGGAATCATGTTTCAAGGATCGGAAGGATCTTCGTTTGCAGACCCTGTTTTCGATTTGCTAAAAGACTACCTAAAGTCTCCTTGATCTCAGGAGCTCATACGTTTTCATAAGCACCGTTCTGGCACAAAGTAAGCATCAAAACATCCCGTTTCCATATTTATTTTCGTCCACGTTGCATTTGATGCCACAACAAAAAAATCGAACCTTTGAAACCAAAGGGAAGTGTAAAATGAAACCGTAATTGGACTTTTACTCTTGCAAGAACCAGTAAAGGATCATGTAAGAAAGAGAGTTAAGATAAGAAACGAAAGAATAGATCTGGACCCTTTATCACTTTTAATCTCTTGCCCACCCATGAATTACGCTTCTCAAGGGAATTAATCCGATGCATCTTGGTACATCCCATCCTAATGTGCATTCAATGGTGGAAATCTCAAGTTTTTCACTTTAACTCTCATTCTCACCAAAACCTAACCCTACAAGGCTACAAGAACCATCCATTGGTGTATTAGTTATGGAGGAAAAGCTTCCTTCAATGATTAGCAACTGATTTCGATTAATGAGCATATATAGGGCAAGTTCGTTTGAGAACTGTAAAATTTTTGAAACCATGAGAACTAACTATTCATAAATCATTCATGACTATCGTGATAGATATTCATAATGAATATCAAGAACAGTGAAAATGCATAATTTGAAGCAAATGTTGTCAGAGAATGTTCTTTGTTTCCTCTAAATGGGTCATTTATGTATATAACCTTAAATCCATGTCCTTTGATCTTGGATTTAAAGAAAAAATGACTTTATACTTATCAGAAGAGCATAAATTCAATTAAGATCTCATTTAAGTTCAAAGAAAGATATTAACTTAGGGGCCGTTTACTAAACACTTACCCTGTAAGTGCTTACCGGTAAAGTTTAACATTATCATTTAGTTACCGGGCAAGATTTTAGTTCATCAAAATGATATCGTATGCAATAATTTATCCGGTAAGTGCTTACCATGGTAAGAGTTGTCGCTCTCCCTTACCGGGTAAGACTCTTGGTCCTTGTCTCGCTCTTACCGGGTAAGATTCCTGATCCTTACTATATTCATCCAATAAGGTAATGTGACTTGGTGTTCACTTACCCGAGTAAGCGTTTGGTAAACGACCCCTTAATCTTCTCTGATGTCTTTTTGGCTTGCATTGTTGCAGTAACCAACACAAAAAAGGATTGGATTTAAAAAAATCTAGCAAAATAAGTGAAGACCGGAAGATTGGTTACACAGTTTGATTCTCGACCCGAAAGAGGTACCGATTTTTCTTTTTTTTTCTCTGTATTTAAATCTTGTGAAAAATGTTATATATGTTTTAATGGATTTCACCAGCAAAAACTGCTAATATTGATGGATTTTGTGGTATTCATGTCTTGTGATCATCATTGCAATTTATTTATACATGAAAGTTTTCAAAGATTGTAGATGATGTGATTATGTGGGAATCTTGTCCATCAATATATTAGCATAACCAACAACACCTATTGTAGTTACAAACTTACCCGATAAGACTCACCGGATAAGACTCATGGTCCTTGCTCTGCCTCTTAACAAGTAACATTCTTCTCTTAACAAGTAACATTCTTGGTATTTGTCATGCTCAATCAGTAAGGTAACTGGTATCTGTAAGCAGTAAATGTTTAGTAAAGTGCTAGGTAGAATTGTGAATTCTGAAGGTTACAACATAAACCAAATGAACCCAGAAAATCTCACTCAAAAATAGGGTATGGGAGCGGAAGATGTACAAAGACGATACATCCACCCCTAGGTGGAGAGAGTGTTTATTGGGGTCCGAATGGTGGGATGTAAACAAACGTGATTTCTACCCTGAAAAGTAGCGATAATGTTTTTGCGAATACCAGACTAAACTAAAGAAGCCCAGTATCAGTATGTTCCACTCAAATGTGGGGTCCGGAAGGTAGGATGTATGCAGACCTGTACTCTACCTCAAAGAGTAAAGAGAACGTTTTAGTGATCTTAGAGCTCAGATATAAGCTTGGTGAACATATCCAAATCCCCTAGTGATGTTCCTTCTTTGACTGCCTTGATTGCTGCTTGGCTTAGCTCGTTTACTTTAACTCGCTCCGGCCTATCACCGCTCAATGACTCATCCAACAACCGAGCCAACTCGACCGAGTCAGGAACGCTCTCTGGTCCACCCTCACAAACTCGTTTCCCAATACCCAATTGGTCAACCAATAGCTTAGCATTTGCATATTGGTCCGCACCCATTGGCCATGTCAACATCATCACACCCGCCGCCACTGCTTCCAATATCGAGTTCCACCCACAATGAGTCACAAACGAGCCTACCGCTTTATGTCTCAGTATAGCCAATTGTGGGGCCCATCCTTTGACTATGAACCCTCGACCAGCGACCCGAGACTCGAACCCACTAGGGATCAAGCTCGAGCTCGAGTCGTCTGCCTTCTCACACAAGATGAAATTAACATTACTAAGCTCGAGTGCGCAAGCCAGCGCACTCATTTGGTTCTCGCTTAAAGTGAATCTGCTGCCAAAACATATATAGACAGTAGAGTTATCAGGCTTTTTGTTCAACCAGACGAGAAGGTCGTCAGGTGGCACCACACTGGCCCCGCCTCGTTCGGTTGGAACTATTGGGCCATGATCATCTGGGAGTAACGGGCCCACAGCCCAAATCCGATCATGGCCCATTTGTTTCTTCATATGGTCAATATAAACCCCTTCCAACTCTTGAAATGTGTTGTACACGATTCCCCAACTGGTCATGTTGGCCAACATTCCATTCCTGAAAGATTCGAGATCTGGTTCACCTTTTTTATAGAGACGTGTAAATTGTGACAACTGCCACCGAGGGAATTCCGGCGAGTTGGGGATTTCCGGGAAAGAAAGCGAGCAGCTGTCGTCTCCGGCATTAATCTCCGGCAGATCTCGCCACAACGTTTGAAAAATGGAAGAACCAAGAGCACCAGAAGGCGAAAACACCACCCGCCGGATTCCGAGGTGGGAAGCCAGGTCAGTGGTCCAGCCGAGAAAGAAGTCGGAGACGATGGCGACCGGCGGCGATGGGTGAGATTGAAACCATCGGACAATGGGATCGAACAGTTTCTGGGTGGCGATGACTCTGCCGACAATGGGATAGGGGGATGGGGTGACGGCGGGATCGGGGAAGAGAAGTTGGTGGAGAGAAGAGGGGTAGGAGGAAAGGAGAGGGCGGAGGAGATGGAGGTTGGCGGAGGAGATGATGACGGTGATGGTGAGGCCACGGCGGAGGAGGAGGTGGGTGAGGTCGAGTAAAGGGATGATGTGGCCGGAGCTGGAAAGAGGGTAGATTAGTAAATGTGCTTTGCTGGTGTTGGAGTGATGCATGATTTAAGGTTCTAGTACATGTTATTGGGAATGTTAGATATTTATAAGGTTTAAGGTGATCTTCTAAAGAGGATAAATTTTTATAAGAATTCGGTAGTCATATAAAAATATTTATCAATTATTTTAAGTTAAGAAGAGTTTAACTTTTCCAAAAATACTTTATTATCGGTTTGACATCGGTATAAATTATTTATCCAGACATTGAATATTTTAATAATATAATCGATATTGTAATCTTTATAAGGGCAACTCCAATCGAACGGCAAAACCTTAGTTTTGCCCTTTTTTTGGTTCCAATCGGCCTGCAAAATCACCAAAGATATAGTGGGTCTTGAAAATGACCGGCATATTTGCCGGGGAAGAAGATGGACGGTATTTTGCCAAAGAGGTGGTCCCCACCAACTTTTTGTAATATTTAATGATTTTTAAATAAGTTATAAATAAATAAATAATTATAAATATTAAGTTTTAGGTTTTTATATGTTATTTTAATGTGGGGTCCACAAATTTAGTGTTTTTTTTTAAGTGTGATTGGAGTTGAGTTTTTTTTTTTTTTTGTGTTTATAGGCTCACCAGATTTGGTGTTTTTGGTGGTTTTTTGGTGATGAGGTTGGAGTTGCCCTAATAGATAAGTTATTGGAGTTGAATATAATTTTTTTTTGAAGATTTTGATTTTTGATTATCTATTTTGAAGAATCAATTGAAGATGTTGAGTTAGCAACTTATTTTTTGAGCTTATCATAAAAATTATGTTTAAACAGATAAAAAATAGCTTATTAAAAGGACATTTAAAAGTTGGAAGGGATATGACGGTGCTTGGGACCATCTTTCAAAAATGGGGTTAATTTCTCACATTAAAATATAACGAGGTTTACTTTACTTTTTAATTAAATATAGCAATCAATTTTTTTCTTAAAGTTTTAAAATTTTCTATTTTTAACAGATAATTTGTTGATCTTATAGCATTTGATGATGTCGATGACAAATTTATCGTCCTTTTACTCATAAATCTTTTATTTTTGTAAATAGAATTTACATAATTATATATTACAAAATCAATATAAATAAGAAATATACAATTAAAAAAAACTTTATTATTAAAATAATTGAGAAAAAAATTGTCACAAACCAAAATAAAATGTATTTTTTAGAATATAAGGCAACAGTGTATATGTCTCTATTTATATATTTATATAGAAAAATAATTTATTAGCGTTTAGAATTTAAATATGAGTTTTTGTGTTGAAACTTGAATCCTTTACTAATGAGAACAAATAAATAGGGATTTATTTATTTGATTTATGTTTTGCACTTGAAAGTAGAGATGGCCAAAAATCGGTCTCGGGTCGGACTAGGTTGGGTCAGGCCCAATCGGTCTTAACCTTTCTCATAACCGGCCATAACCGGTCCTGGACGAAAATGATAGGACCGGTCAAGGTACTTCATAATCGGTTATGGGACGTCGGTCTCGATCCCAACCGATCATTGCATTAAAAAATAAGATTTTTTTAATTTTTTTAATGATATATATTTTTAATACATTATAAAATTTACAATTTGGTCACTCAAATACACTTTAAAAATGCGTTATAATATAATTAAAATTACGTTTTCTTATAAAAATACATTATAAAATTATTTAAAAGTACATTTATTTATAAAATTATTTGAATTTTCAGGCCGGGTTGGACCGGTCCATATTCGGTCCCATAACCGGTCCCGATCCCACGAAACTACCAAAAACTTCAACCGGTCCCGGTTTTCGATCCCATAACCGGTCCTTACTGGTCCAGGTCCCAGGCCGGTCCTTTGTTGGTCCCGGTCCCGGTCCTCCAGCGATCCCGGACCTGGCCGATTTGGCCATCTCTACTTGAAAGTGGTATTTGAGAATCTCCAACATTTTTTTTAAATTTATTTAAAATTAAAAGTTAAGAATTTTAAAAAATTATATTTAATTTTAACAATTTTTTTATTTTAAAGATTTTAATATTTTAAAGATTTTAATATTTCTTTCAATACATATTTAAAAGAATAAAAAAAACATTTTTTTTCTTATCATCAAGTTTTAGAGATTTTCTTAAAGTTTTCTTTATTTTAAAATTTTTGTTTGAGCAAAATAATAAATAAAAACCTTATTTTCTTCGTTTTTAAAGAATTTGTTCTAATAGATTCTTTGTATTTCTTTAAAATAAAAAATCAAAAGGAAAAATATCTATAAAAAATTAAATAACTCCAATAGATTCTCTATTTAAAGGAATTTTGACATCAAATATATCATTAAAATATTCTATAATTTACAAGTTTCGATTTTAAAAAATAAAAATAAAAGGTTAAAGAGTCGAATAAAAAGTAAAAAAAGGTGACTCTTTGTTTAAGCCAAATCTATCACGATACCTTTTATGGTTGAAAGACAAATAGCATGTACCAAGTGACGTCATGGCTTACGTTTTTATTTAAAGCTAGGTAGACAAGAAGATGGTTTAGGATCAAGGAAAATACCAAATCCACACTTTCTTTTGTCGGTATTTTAAATTGGATACAAGGTTGATGAATGGTTTGGTGTAGAATGATTAAGAAACTTTTATGATATAATGCAATATGAAAAATAATTGTTTATAAAGAAGTTATGGTGTTGAATAGTTAAGGGGGGTTCGGAATTCAAAATCATACAGAGAGTTTTAAAACAATTAAAAGATAGATTTTTTTTTCTTCTGCCAAAGAAGATTCATCTCTTAACAATTCAAATGTTACTTTTTAATAGAACTATTAAGAGGTAAATTTATATACCGGCAAATTTATATAACTTCGTTGAAAAATTGGTGATACATAGGTTATGTAAGATCGAAACCTAAATCCCTGAAATAAAAATAAAAAAATCCCTAAATTTTTATCGTTGAATTAAAGCAGATCGATGTAGAAAGTGAAGCAAAGTTGATCGAGCCCGTAAACGAATCGAATTACTAAACTATTCAAAACCATGAATACGGGGTTCAAAATCGAAACCCTATATCTGAATCGTGAGAGACATGTGTACCTTCAACAGATCGCCGTTCTTACTATAAGAAAAATACGGAACTCCTTCGTTCGTTCAAGAGATCGGTTGAGGTTATTCAATAAGGGATAGGTTATAGGTGTTTATATATTATATATTTACTAGAAGAATCCTCGCACAATACAGTGAGACACATCTCGATTTTAATGTTCTATTTTATTATTTGTCTCTGTCGATGTTATAATACGATAAATTTGAAGATAACATAAAAACTTGAAGAAAAAAAATATCAATGTTAATATCAAATCAACTATTTAAAAGTTCTCATTTTTTATGTAATTTCTTTAATTCATTTTTTTATTATAATTTAATTTTAGTTTAATAACGAAATAAGTTATTTGAGGTTTAATAATATAACATTTTATAAATATAATAATTAAGTATTCTGTTGGAACTCAATGATTATCCTAATTATATTTTAGATTTTTTATATTTAAAATGAGATGTTATCCTTTATTTGATTATGTTTATCCGCAGTTAGTTACACGAATTCAAACATGGAGCTTTAATAAGTTGTATTTATGCATAATTTACTTCTAATCTTGAATTTTAAGTAATATGCATCAATATATAGTACTTCATGCATAAAAAATATTTTTTAAGAGTTTTTGTCAAATGTTTTATAATATAACTAGAAGCGTACTCGCGCAATGCAGCGAGATACATCGTGTTTTTAATATTTTATTTTATTCATTATCTCAGTCGATGTTATAATATGGCTTTATGCGATTTTGAGAAAGCGATGATGTTTTTATTTTTTTAAAAAAATATATGTTTGACGATATCATAAAAATTTGACAAAAATGTATCGATATTAGTATCAAATTAACTATTTGAAATTCCTCATTTTTTTGAGTAATTTTTTAATCCAATTTTTTTATAATTTAATTTATGTACAATAACGAAGTAATTTATATTTGGTTTAATAATATAATTTTTTATAAAGATAATAATTATTTATTTTGTTGTAAC